GCAGCTGATACACTGTATGTCTTGTCTCAGTTCAAGGGGATTCGTCGATTCGTTGATCTTTGGTTCTGATCTCCAAAGAGGGACAGTGGCATATTTTGTCCCTTTTATTTTCCCCGTCAAGCGAATTGACCACCAGGCACGTCTCGTTTGCCTGATTCTTCCAGGTGGGATCAACACAACATCAACACACGTAATTTGCACGGCACGTACAGTGATCAGCGGAAGTGGACAGATTGTAGAGCACGCTACTGTACGCACATTCTTCCGTTCTTGCCCTTTTTGGGCCTACAGTACCGTAGCCGTTTGCCCGATCATTGCTCCCTACTCCCGCCAGCCCAACTGAGCAGAGGGAAAAACAATTCGCTGTCGGTGTTGCGGCGTCGCGCCCCCCCGCATCGCCCCACCGTGTCACTCACTGCTCCTCCCTTTCCCCATCCCTCTCCATCCTTTCGCGAATCACTTCCCTTCGCAACCCGAATCCGTCAGTCTCTTTCATTGTCTCAGCAGAGACAAAACAAACCAGCCGACGTCAGCATGCTCGCGAACGTTTGAACGATGCGCAGGATTCCAGATTAGCGAACCCCGAGGGAGTGAGGACAAGACTTTCACTCCTCTCCCTCAGCCTTCATACTTCCACCATCAACGACGACAACACACTACCGTGTGTCCCATCATCCCACAGTGTTGATGCCAACCTTGTGTTTTAGAGCCTGAGCCGCAGGCGAGTGCGTTTTGCAAATCTATGGGAAAACGCCTCTTATTCTATTCTATGAACAGGCCGTGAATTCGCTACGTTTTACTAGCACACGTCCCGTCGCAACTTAGCCCCCACTGATCACCGTCGAGCTTTTTTACAGTCCATCCATCCCTCGCCCTTGCCAAAAAGCGTTTCTCCTGGCGCCACCCACCAATGACCCAGTAGTCACGTCTTCTCCCACATGGCTCAACATTCCACGCTCATCTCACCGCTCTTGGTTTCTGGACCGGACAATATTCATTATCTCTGCGGCATGCGCGCTTCCAGCCCTGCTCGCGATGCGTTCGGCCCGACAGAAGACATTAGCTGCTCTAGCTTGCCAATAATGGACGACGACGGGATTTCCGCCAATTCCGCCGGCAGCGATGAAGGCGCTGCCCCTCTCGCTGGTTACGATTCACCCAGCCTAGCATCTGTTTCTTTTCCCAGAGAAAGGGCCAGTGTTCAACTGCCACGTGAGACACACAGCACTGGCAGCCTCGCCGCGGCGAATCGGGCGAACAAAGTAGCGCCTGGTTACTCTGCTTCGCGCGCAGTATCGCTCCAGGCATCAGTCGAAACTTCCGTACGCAACCCTTCGCGGGGCCTCTCGCCGTCGATGCGGCGCGCAGAAGCAACGGCGATCGCTCTCCGTAGCGGCGATGTCCAGCTGACGGACCTTGACGGCCAGCTGCTTCCGCCGCCGCCGCTTCCGCAGCAGAAGGTCGTTGTAGCGCAACAGCAACAACAGCAGAAGCTACAGCAACAGCAGCAGCAGCCGCAAGTGCAATTGCAAACGCAGCAGCGAACGCAAAGCAAGGCGGCTCCCAGAAGCCGCGTTGCGTATTCTGAACCGCTCTTAGCGCCGCAAACCCGTGCGGCTTCAGAAGTAAAAGCGCTTCAGGGCTCGTCTCATTCACCGCTTACCGCAGGTGGCGGCGGAAGAAAAGGCAATAGCGTCGGCCACCGTAACCCCATGGCCAACCCCGTTTCCGCTTCGTCCTTCGCCTCTGCTGCACGCTCCGCGTCTTCCGTTTCCCCTTCCGCGCCCCCGTCCCCGCTGGCGCTGCAGTTCGTGCGCCAGTCGCGCGCAATGATGCTTCTCCTGGACCGCCAGTCCGCGGAAGTGCTCGCCGCCAGTCGCGCGGCGCTGACGGCGCTCGGGCAGGCGGAGGACGGGGAGAGCACGCAGGCGCAGGCGCAAAGCGCGGACTCTGGCGCGGGCGCAGGCGGGCGGAAGAGCTTGTTCGATTTGACGGGCGACGTGAGCGCGGAGCAGTGGCAGCGCGCCGTGGGCGACGCGGTAGCTTCCGGCGCCGCCGTGCTGCGCTTCAACGTGCGCGACTCGGGGGCGGGCGGGCACCTGGAGGGGCGGCAGGTGGACCTCATGCTGCAGCCGTGCCAGTTCGTGCCCGACACGCGCTCGCTCGTCGGCACCTTCGCCATCGTCAACCGTCCTTCCCCACTCCCCACCACAAACGCTGGTGAAACAACCACCATCGACGAAGGTCGCAGCGGTGGCGATGGCGGCAGCGGCAGCGGAAGCGCTCTCAATGCGGACGAGCGTCCTGTGTCCGCGCGCAGCACCAATACGAGCGAGTCGCCGGGGGGCAGGGGCTCCCGTCGCTTCATGCATAAGCTCGCGTCGCTCTTCCGCTTCCACGACGAGCCTTCCCCGCGCGAACCGCTCTTCTCCGTCGAACCGCTTACCCCCAGCCCCCACTCTTCCGCCACCTCCGCCTCCGCTTCCACCACCCCGAACGCAACCGCTCCCACTCCGCGCGGCGCTTTCTCCCCCGCTGCTCCGCCCCGCACGGCTCCCGCGCTCTCGTCCGCCGCTGGCGCGGGATTGTCCGCAGCAGGTTCCGCCGTCGCGCCAATGTCCATCTTGCGCAAAGTTTCCACCTTTCACGCCCTCAGCCGCGCGCCGACGTCCCCCTCTGCCGCCTCCGTTCTCCCCTCGCTGGAAGCTGCGGCAGCAGCTGGGGCCAGCGGCGGCGGCGGCTGTGGCGGCGGTACGGAAGGCGCAGGAGGCGGCAGGAAAGCGCTTCCGGACGGACTTCCCCCTGGGGGCAGCGGGCGGATGTCTGGCGCGCGCCGCCTGCTGCGCGGGCGTGGAAAGAGCGGTTCCGCCCAGGAGCGGACGACGACGTCTGGTCCGCTTCTCACGGCCTCCGCGGCGTCGCCGTCGCGCCACGATGCGCGCGCAACCGCGGAGTTTTTGCGCACAAGAGGCGGAGATGTTGCGCCGATGCAGCAGGACTGGGGCAGATTGGACTCGCCTGGCCGGTTCGGCGCTCTCACCGCCGACAGCACCGGCTTCAGGGTCACTGGGAGCAATAGCATGAGCCGCAGCAGCAGCGGCGGCGGCGGCGGAGCTGCGGTGGCGTCGAGCGGCGGTCTTTCCGCGCACCCCGTTAACAGGCGGGCTTTTTCCACCAACGCGGAGGGGCTGAGGGCGGCAGCTGCTCGGAAGATGCAGCGGCAGCAGGCGAGGCGGGACGGTTCGCGCGGCGACAATGGCGATGGCGTCGACGCCAGCGCGCCTGTCGCGGATGGTGTCGCTGCTGCCGCATCTAGCGCTAGCGCTAGCGTCAGTCGTTCGGCTCCCAGCCATGTGCCCGCACCCGCACACCTGCCCACTGCTCCTGCTGCTGCTGGAACCCTCACGCCCTCCTCCCCCGCCGCCGCCGCTCCCGCTGCTGCCGGTGCTGCTATAGCAGGTCGCGCGGCTGGCGCTGGCGGCGGAAGCGGCGGCGGAGCGAGTGCGTGCGCGCACCCGCTGCTGGCGGGATCTTCTGGGTCGGGCAGGCGCAACGACCTGCGCGTGATTATCCCGTCGTCTCCCAAAGGCGACCGCGAGGTGAAGGTTCTGTGCTCTGACGGGAGTTACAGCAGCGCCCCTGCCGCTGCTGCTGCTGCTGCTGCTGCTGCTGCTGCTGCTGCTGCTGGTGTATCAAAGACACCATCAGCGGCAGCAGCGGCAGCAGCAGCAGCACCAGCAGTCCGCCAAGCGCATTCTCCCTCTCCGCGCAGCGGCGTCGCCTCCGCCTCCGCCTCCGCCTCCTCGTCCGCCGCGCACTCCCCGGCGTCCGCCTCCTCTTCCGCCGCAGCGTCAGCGTCCAGTCTCCCCAGGTCAAGCAAGTCAACGGGGCTGCGGGAGAGGCGCGGGATGGCCAGCAGGCTGGGCACTCTAGCCGTAAAGCACGGCGACAAGCACGCACGGCAGCAGCAGCAGCAGGAGGGAGAGGAGGTTGAGCAGGAGGAGCAGGAGGAAGGGGTGAGAGGCAGCTGCAGCAGCACCCCGGGAGCGCGTCTCTCTACAAGATCTCTGTCGGAAAGCTCTCCCTCTCCGTCTCCCACGCCCACCGCCACTACCCCCGGACGCTTGGGATTCCATAGCGTGGGGTCCAAGGGGCGCGCGCTGACAGGCGCATGGGGAGGGGCAGCGGGGAGAGCAGAGAGGAGAGGCGCCCACAACAGCAGCGGCAGCGGCAGTGGCAGTGGCGGCGGCGGAGCTGCCGTGGTGGCATCCGCTGAGCTGCTCATGGCGCGGCGAGTGGATGGCGCTGCGCAGGGTGGTGCAGGGGGAGGAGGAGGAGGAGCAGCAGCAGCAGCAGCAGCAGCGGCAGCGAGGGGAGCTCGAGCCCTCGTGCACTCGCCGCTGGGGCGAGGTCTGTCCGCGTCGCAGCCTCTGCGCCCCTCGCCCCGCCCTTCCGCCTTGAGCGCCGCAGCCAAAACCGGCCAGGGCTCGTCACTCAACAACAGCAGGAGCAGGAGCAGCAGCACAGGCCGTACCCTGGGCCCATCAGAAATCCTACACAGGCACTCTCTTACTGCTGACCTTGTCTCTGTTGCTGCTGACGGTGCTGCTGCTGCTGCTGGTGGGGATGCCGGTGATGCTGCTGCTGCCAGGGTGGCGCAGATTAGGAGGTCTAGGAGCTATGGCGGGGGGCTGTTCACGCCGAGACTCGTGCGCAAGAGCAAGAGCAGGAGCATGTTTGTGGCTGTGGGGGGGAGCGCAGGAGGGGGTGGGGATGAGGTGGAGGCTGGGGGGAGAGAGGACTGGTGGGGCGATGACAGGACGATGACCCTGGGCTCTCCTGCCATTCACGTTGCTGCTGCTGCTGCTGCTGCTGCTGATGCTGATGCTACCGCCGCTGACGCTACTGGAGCGGACATTACTGGTGCTTACGCTGGCAGGGGGATGGAGGAGGAGGAGGAGGAGGAGGAGCAGCAGGAGGAGGAGTATCCATTGGATTCCATGGGTCTAGGATCCGCCGCCATAGCTGCCACTGTAGCCGCCGCCGCAGCCGCCGCTGGTGCAGCTACCGCAGTGGCGGAGAGCACTGGGTGTTACCCCCGCGGCGCTCCTTTCGCATCCTCTTCTCTCGCGCCTGCTGCGACCGCCGGCGTTTCTAGGCCGGGTAGGGGCTTTGGCGGCAGCACGAGCGTGGGGAGTGGAAGTGGGAGCGGCAGTGGCAGGTGGGGAAGGAGGATGGTGGGTAGCAGGAGCATTGGCAGTGTGGGGGGCGGCATGGGAGGGACCAGATTCTCTAGCAGTTGGAGTGTCGGCGGCTTGCTCACCACTGCTGCTGCTGCTGGCGGTGCTGCTGGCGGTGCTGCTGGCGTTCCTGGTGCAGAGGCAGCAGCGACTTACGAGGCAGCAGAGGATGGGGCAAGGGCAGTGGGAGGGTCTGGGAGGGTCAGCGTTGGGAGCTCGAGCTCTGGCTCGAGCTCTAGGAGCAAGCGGTGGGCGGCGGCGCTGTCAGCAGCAGTGTCGCCCGGCGCACAGGGGAAGCGAACCTCCGCGTTTGATTCGTCTCTCAAGTCGCCTGGGGCCCACGGAAAGAAAGCCCTGCTGCGGCACCAGGAACATCAGCAGCACACGCAGCAGCAGCAGCAGCAGCAGCAGCAGCAGCTGCAGCAGCAGCAGCAGCAGCAGCAGCAGCCTGAAAAGTACGAGGAGGGGGAGGAGGGTGAGATAGTAGGAATAGAAGGTGGTAATGCTGCAGGGGACGGGTGGTTGGTTTCTGCCTGCGCAGGGGGACTAGAGGAGGGGGCGCAGGGGCAGGAAGGGGCGGAGGGGGGCGCAGGAGCAGGGGAGAGGGCGGAGAGACTGGAGAGGGCGGAGAGGGCGGAGATAGAGCGGCAACTGCGGGCGGTGGAGGAGGAGATGGTGGCGATGCAGCAGCAGATCGGCGCACTACTCACCATCGGCATGGCCATGGCTGACCATGCGGAGGGGGTTGGCGAGGGCGCGAGGGAGCTGGGGAAGGGGGATCTGGGGGAGGCGGAGCTGGTAGAGTTGGGGGTGGGGGAGGCGGAGTTGGGGGAGGCGGAGTTGGGGGAGGGGGAGCTGGGAGGGGCGGAGTTGAGGGAAGCGGAGCTTGAGGAGGCGGAATTGGGGAAGAGGGAGTTGGAAGAGGGGGAGTTAGGGGAGGGGAATGCAGAGACGGCTCTGGTGGTGGCTAGAGATGTCGAGAAGTGGGAATACGAGCAGGCGCTGGAGAGGGAGGGAGGCACGGAGGAGAGGCAGGGTGTTGAGAAAGCTATTGAGGTGCCTCAAGCGTCGTTGTCGGAGGAGGAGGAGGAAGAGAAAGAGGTGGAAGAAGGGCGTAGCAAGGAAGGGAAAGAAGGGAGCGAGGAGCGGGAGATTTTGAGCCCTAGCCCAAGGGCAAGTGGCGCTGATAGCCCAAAGACCCCTGGGGATAGCAGCGGTGAGGGGAAGGAAAGAAGCAGAAGCCATGGTAAGGAGAGAAGACGGAGTGCGAGCAAGAGCCCGAAGCAGCAGGCCCTGCAACACGAGACGTTAATTCTTCCAGCTCAAGCTGCATTCCAGCCAGCCAACACCAAAACCAGCACCAGCAGCAGCCCCGCTCGCGTCTCCCCCTCCTCCTCTCCCTCCCTCTCTTCGCCTGCAGCTGCTGCTGCCTCCCTCTCCCCTGCGCACGCTCTCCCTTCTCCCTCCCGCGCCCTCCCTCCGCTCTCCCCCAACCTCCCTCCGCTCTCCCCTGCTGCCGAATCAGTTACAGCGAAGGGGCGGAGGCAGAGGAGGGCCGGCCGGGGGAAGGAGAAGCAGCAGGTGGTGGTGGGGGGGGGGAGAGCAGCTCGAGACGGCATTGATGCGCGTGAAGCCAGTGGCAGCCGTGCCAGCGGCGGTGGTGACAGTCGTGACAGCCGTGCCGGCGGCGGTGGTGAGAGGCGTGCGGGCATTGACGGCCATGAGGCAGGGTGTGGGGGGCTGATGGAGTCCGCGGATGGTAACCGGGTGGAGTCTCTGGCGCCTTTGGCGTCACCATGCTGTGCTCGCTGCCACGCTCCCAGGCACACATGCATCAGGTGCGGCTTCTGCTGAGTCTGTGAACAAGTTAGGCATGGCAGGGCAGGCCATGGGATGGCATGGCAGGGGATGGCATGGCATGGCAGGGAATGGCAACCTGCTCGAACCATTTTCATCAGTCTTAATGCTTGTGTGTTTCTTGCGAACATTCTCTTCTGCTCACACTTCTCCCTCTCTTGCACTCCCTTTCCCCCGGTTCCCGTCCTAGATCCCTCTACCCCTTCTCCTCACAACTCACCACTACCCCACTCTTTCTGGTTATCCTCCTTGTGCCATGGCCAGTTCCCAGCTAGATCGCGGTGGAGTGGGGTACGCAGTGGTGGCAGCAGGCAGTGGCGACATCATCACGTGCAACAACTCCTTCCTCTCCCTCCTCCGCCTCGCCTCGCCTGCCCCTCACACCGCCACCACTGCCACTACCACAGCCATGGGTGCTGCTGCAGCAGCAGCAGAAGCAGCGGCGGCTGATACAGTAGCAAAGGCAGTTGGAGGCGCAACGGCAGCAGCAGAGGCAGCGTGTGGTGGCGCCGTGTGTCTGAGCGTGGCGAATGCTGTGTCGGCAGAGTCAAAAGGCAACCTCATGGTATGAGCAATTTGTGAGGATTCTCAGAAATATGTCGCCTGGATGCCCTCCGTTCTTCTCTTCTCTGCTCTGCTTTCCTCCGCTCCTGTTTTTCACGTGCCCATCCATTCGATACCGGGAATTGAGAGCATGTGAGTCGAAGCAATTGTTCACACAACCTCCCCCTCCTCCACCCCCTACCTTGTTCCCTCCATTCACCAGCTTGCTCACCCCCACCCGTCCCTCTCTCCCTGTGCTCCCACTCCTCCCCCAACGCCCATCCCAGGCTTGGCTAGCCGTCGCGTGCCAGGCACTCTCGCATCCCCCTCCCATCACAGTACTACTGCAGGAAGGCCCCTCTGCTGCTGCCACCACCGGCACGTCCGGGGGCGACAGTAGGACGAGCAAGAGCAGCCGGAAGAAGCAAGGCAGCAGCTACTCTGGCCCTCCCTTAGGTGGGGCGACGGCAAGTGCCGCTCCCGTGCTGCTCGCAGGGCCTTCGGGTGATAGCGGTTGTAGCGCTGGTGGCGCTGCCACCACCAGCACCGGCTCCTGCAGCGGCAGCGGCAGCAGCGGTGGTGGAGTTAGCAGCAGCTCAAGTGGGCATGATGTAGCGGTAGTTGCACATACAGATCTGGTTGGTACATTCAAAAGCCCTGGTGCAGCTGCAAATAAAGCCCCCCTCTCCCTGTTACCTCCTCCTGCTGTGTCGTCACCTCGCTTACCTCCCTCACCTCTCTCACCCCTCCCCACCTCCCAGTCCCCTCCTCCGGACTCCTCCTGTCACCCTCCTCTCCAGCAGCAGCAGCCACTGGGATCAATGCCTCTTGCGGTTGACGCACAGGGTGAATCATCCACATCCCCATCGCAATCAGCATCAGCATCACCATCAACGTTACTTCCATTAGCACCACCGGCACTGCCACTGCTAGCTTCACCAGTGCACGAGCGTGTTACGCTCATTCCCTCCCCATGCCTCCTGCCACTGCAGGCTGCTGCAGATGAAAACACTGCACTGGTGGCCTTGCTGGCAGTTAGAGGCTGCTGCTGATGCTCGTGCTCTCATGCTCCCAAGCTTCGATGTTGTCGTCATAGCAGCACGCTTTCCATGATACGAATTCATCGTGTAGCCTCAATAAATTCCACGTGGTTGCCTCCTTGGCAAGAGAGCACAATAAACTGTGTGAACGGCTGCATGCCTGGTGCTGTGCTTGACAGTCAACAGTGTGTAGTTCAAGATGAGTAGTCACTCACGATTATAAAAAGATGTTCCACTCCAATCTACAGGAGGTTCACTTGTAGCGCTTTGTACTCGTTTCATCTTTGTTCGCACAAGTCTCGCGCTGACATCGCTCGCAGCAATGTGGAGTTCCCGCCACTGAAACACATGATCCCCCGAATCTGTTGAAAGTTTGAAAGGTTTACCGCACTGAAACGGACTAAAGCTTGCTGCAACGCAACTTAGAGTGTAAGACCCCTCAGAAGTATGGACTTCACCTGTTTACCCAGTCCTAGAATGAATCCATGGCTTATGCGAACCCAATGCTCCGGAACTCGTAGTCGATTTTGACTAGTCTTCCAGGATGCGTTATCTGCGCATCGTTATTTGCACTGCCGTTGCGTGACACCCGTTGAAGCATTTTCCCAGGCATCCGCTGAAGGGTAGCAGCTCATTACTCGCAGACAGAAAACGCCGTCACTCATGGGAGTTGTGAGTGAGTATTCCATTTCCCGTCCATACTTGTACTCCTTTCACGATCAACTCCTTGACTCTCGATCCGATTTAGCCGTTCCTTCTGCCTGCGATGCTATCCACATTACCATCGAAGAAGCTGGTCATTGAGTCACAGCAGTACAAGTCTCTATCCTCATTTCAATCTGCCTCGCCAGCGACCCTCATTGTCCCCGGTCCGTCTCCCACAGTGCCATCAAGTCCGTAAATAACTGCGCTGGACGCCTAGTGTAGACACTTTCATTCCGCATCTCATTCTGAAGCCCCATCGCAACCATCGTTAATATTCCTCCAATGCGCATGCCAACGGTTCGACGTTATCCGCGTGTGTAGACGCGCCGGTACGCGTGTTATAAGTGCGGTGTCCGATGTTGCGACAACCTGGCTTTTCCCTCACACGTGTCACTCCAGTTTTGCTGACGGCGTTGGGTGCAGGGGCAGGCCACGTCATCAGCAAGCCGCTGGTCCGTCAATGCATCCGAACATCCTTCTGTCAGCTCACAGCCGTTGATGGAGCAGAATCAGCGGACGGCAGCTCTGGATATTCCCGAGACGAGAGCGCAGTGGAGGTGAAGGGAAGGCGGCTACCATCGTCAGCCGTTTACGAGGGCGTGTTGCTCGTCTTTAAGTGAGTAGAGTGTTTCAATGGCGTCTGGTCCTTGTAGCTTTCCCAAGAACTGGGCTGAATCACAGCGGGAAGAGAGTGCGATGGAAATGGGAGGTCGTTAGCCTATGTGAGCACCTCAATTTTTGTCGTTCCCCTCTTACTCATTCACCTTTCGTGCTCTTTCCCTCTTGCTCACTCCTTTCCTGACCGCCCTGATCTTATCCCTCACACTCTTGTCAAGCAGTGAGTTGAACCGAAGATCCTCTCATGCATTCTTCGATCCGCCATCAAGACGAGAAGTCAAGGAGAGAGTACAGGTGAGTATGATGGGGAGTCGAGGGGGTAGTTGCATCAGCCTTTGCATTTCCATCACCCGATCAAATGGTTGGTTTCTTGCTTTTCATGAAACAACCCCGTTATCCTGACAACAACATCAATCTCTTGCATCTCCTGGTCTTTCTTCCCCTGCTTCCTTTCCATCCTCTCTTCTTTCCTTCTCTCCTCTGATACTTCCTCTTCCTCCTTCCACCCTATTCCCTGCCTTCCTCCTTACACCCGTCTCCCTACTCTTTACTATTCCCGTTCCCCCCTGCCTCTCCTTCCCTGCCTGCCATCCCACTCCACACCAGACATTCAACTGTTCAACACCAAACGAGTTCACCCAGGCAGAGTTCGAGGAGCTAATCTTCCTCTTCTTCCCGGATGCAGTAGCCTGCTTTACCAAGGACATAGTGCTCACATGCACGGCTGTCACGTGCCTCACTCTCGCCACCAAAAGCGCTGCCGATGCCGTGCTGAGAAGAGCCGGCTCCAAGCGGTCACTTCCTGGAGCCCTGCTGGCATGTGTGATTGGAATAGTGTGGCGAATAGCCCGGCACTAAGATTCTCCATACGCAGGTGCCATGTGCATGTGCCATGTGGAATACAAGCCATGAATGATGATTGCACTCGTCCTGGAATGGTGTCACAATCAGAGGATGACAGCATTGGCACCAGCAGGAAGCGGATAGGAGAGCAGCAACGCATGGTTTTGGAGCATGGACTCAAGACTCGAGAACCACAGAAGGCACCACTGACATCAGTGTCTCACCCCGCCCTCCCTGTAGTTGTTGCGTCCTCCACTGGTGGAACACCAGCTTCCGCATGTGTGTTGCTGGGTACGGTGCGTGCGTTGCTTCCGCATGTGTGTTGCTGGATGCACGGTACTCAGCTCCCCGCGTCCTCTCCAGTCACCAGGGACCACTGTCAGCAACGATCCTGCATGCAACATGCTGTGGGTGGGTTGGGAAAGTTGTATCAGTCTTATCAAGTTCTTTGCTAACAAGTGTGAAGCTTCCCCGGCAGGAAAGATGTACGGTACCCTATGGACTCGCTCATCGAATGGTTTGTCATGCAAACGCAATTTGCCACTCAAACTACGTACTCAGTGGATGTTAACAGAAGCCCCCTGACACAACGGCAGAGCAACCACCAAGTCAAGAGTGGGGGATTAATCTCGGATCAGCCTACTGTACTGATTATGATGCCTGGGGCAGGGGCAGGGCACTTTCACCACCATTGCCATCCAAGCACTCCAACAGACACACAGCCGTCACACAGCAGGAACAACTCAAATCGATTAGTACCAGGGATGCTGCCACTTGCAGGTGCATGCTGCTTCACACGCTCACGCAGTCACATTCATGCATTCGTGCATTTCCCCGATGTTTTTGGCACCTCAGAAATCACCTCACCTCCCTGCACCCAATGCTCATGTGAATCGAGGCTGTGTGTTAGCCTGTCACTGTGCCCCTGTGCGTCACTTTTGGAGCATAACAAGGAGAGTAACAGGAGGCACTGCAAGTGCATGGGGTGAAGGAAGATCAGGATGCTGGGGACCGGCTGTGCCTGCTTCTACCGATGTTGCTGCTGGTAGGGCTACAGCCTCTGCTACTGGTGTTGGTGCTGATGGTGATGCCAGTGCTTGTGTGTGGATAGTTGCAGGGATGGCAGCAGCGCAGCAGATAAAGATCACGGAGTGAGATGAGGAAGGTGCCTCTGACGGGAGCAGGGATGCATTCTCTAAGGTGCACTGCTTCCCACTGTGAGTGACTGGCAGAGCGAAGGGAGGTGGGGAGGGCGTGGTGTTGCATGCGCAGACTTGAAGCCACTCCTGCAGTGCAGGAGGAGAGGGGAAGGCAGATAGGATGATGACACAGACGAAGCGCGGAGGGGTAACACAGAGGAAGACGGCGGAGAGCACAACATGGTGCTGTTGATGGCTTATAATAGTCAGACCGTTGCCTATGCACAGTGCAGGCGCAAGCTTCCTCAACACCCCGCACTCATACAGCTCATGCATGCATGCACGCACGCACGCACGCATGCGTGCATGCACCTTACAGTCCCTGTTTACCCACCACCACGCCCTACCACTCCACTCTACCCAGCCACCACCACTCCACCACGACACCACCATTCCCCCATCTGCCCACCTGGAACGCCGCTCTGTAGTGGTGTGGCAGGGCGGGGAGCAGCAGGAGGCCGGGCGCAAGGAGCGAGGAGGAGGTGGCAAGGAGGGAGGGGAGCGAGTCGTTGCAGGTGAGGAGACGCGAGGAGGAGGGGTCCACCAGGGCAAAGCCTACCCTTGCATGGTCCAACACGTGGCTGCGAGGAGGGGAAGGAGGTGGGGGTTAGGGGAAGAAGTTGGGAAAGCAAGAAGCAGACAACGGAAGCGTGCGGAGCATGGAGTGTCTGGTTGACGATTCCGTTGGTTCAACCCTCACATGCACCCTGCCATGCCACATTCCATTGAAATATATGAATGGGCGTGCCCATGCATGCGTGCTCCGTGCATGTGTGTGCATGCATGCCGGCGCATACCTGACCCATTGTGCTGAGCTGTGGCAAGAGGGTACGCAGGCAGCAGCAGGAGTTGTGTCCAGGGAGGGTGGGCAAACCCGCTGGTGACAAGTGCCTTGAACGACGGAGGAGGAGGAGGAGCAGGCAGAGAGCAGGTGAGAAGGATCGTGGTCAATAAGAGCACTGGCGCCACCAGTGGTGCTGCTGCTGGTGATGGGGGAAGAGGTTGCCATAACACCTGCATGATGCTTCCGACCATCCTCATAGTCCACACCACTCTCACAAAGCTTGCTGCCATCACCTGCATCTGCATGCAATGCCACACCGTTTGCTCGTTCGTTCTCCTGCACCTGCTTCCCCGCTTGCATACCCTCCTGCTGCAACCCCTCCTTCGCCCCTTCATCTTGTCCGTTGTTCCCAAGTGGCACAGCGCCGGCAATCTCCCCTTCCTCCCAACATGAGCCCATATGTTTGTGTACCCCATCCCTCTCTTCCTCCACACCCTCCCCCAGCTTCAGGGCTGCTCCCACGAGTGCTTTTTCATCTGCTTGCTTGCCGCTCGCAGCATCCTTTGCTTCTGGCCCCTGCTGCTGCACCACTCCCCTGGCTCCTCCAACCACCTCCACCTCCACCTCCACCTCCACCTCCCAAGAGCCATGCAGGCCTTCCTTCCCAACCCCATCTCTGTCACCATTTCTCAGCCCGCTGCTGCTCGTTCCCTCGTTAACATACCTGTCACCCTCCCCTTCACACCTCTGCATCCCACTTGCTCCCTCTCTTGAGCTCCCAACCTCCTCCTCCTCCTCCTGTTTTCCCTCGTCTCCCTCCTCACTTACTCTCTCCTTCCTCCTTACCTCCTCCCTCTCCTTCACTCCCGTGTCTCCCTCCCCTCCTTCCTCCCCCCCTCGGTCCATCCCATCCCCCCCCACCTCATCAAGCACAATCCCATCCCCTCTATCAGGCTCCTCACTCCAATGCTCAGAGCACCACTCATCATCCTCCCTTCCGACTTCCATCCCATCCCCCTTCCCATCTTTCCTTTCATCCTCCACCTCCTCCTCACCTCTCACGCCCTCTCGTGCCCTCTCCTCCTCCGCATCCCAACAATCCACAACACTCCAAGCCCCCTCCTCGCCCTCCACCCTCTCCTCTTCGCCCTCCATCCACGACCCTTCCAGTTCACCTTCCCTCTCCAAATACCCCTCTTCCCCTCCACGCCCCTCTCCCTCCTCCCTTTGTGCAACCCCCTCAGCCCCCTCAGCCCCCTCAGCCCCCTCAGCCCCCTCAGCCCCCTCAGCCCCCTCAGCACCCTCACCCCCCTCAACCAGCTCATCACCCTCATCACCCCTCTCACTACCACCTCCACCCCTCCCAAAGCTCCGCTCGTCGTCCTTCCCTCGCCCCTCGGTTTCAACCCCCTCTTGCTTCTGTCGCCCCTCTGGCAGTTTCCTCAGCCCATGTCCATGCCCGGGCCTGGGTCTCTGCCTGCTCTTCTCTCCAATGCGCCCTCCTTCCCCTTCCCCGTCCCCTCCTTCTTCCCCTCCCCTTTCCCCTCCCCCTTCCTCCTCTCCATCTTCCGCCCTGCCCTCCTTCTCCTCACCATCCCCATGCTCTGTCTCCTCACCTTCCACCAACTGACCATGCCCCGGCACTTGCTGATGCCCGGGCAGCAGGAGCCCGTGGGAGGGCAGGATGAGGCGGTTCAGTTCCTGTTCCATCTGAACCATCTGAGAGTCCAGCCACATCAGCTCGCTCGCCAGTATCTCCCTCTGCTTCTCACTCTGCTCCTTCTCCTTCTCCTTGCCCTTCCCTTCCCCTTTATTGCTTTTGACAGCGGCGCTACCAGGCCTCCCCCCACTCCGCCCCCACCTCCTCCCCCTCCTCCTCCCTTTCCTCTGCCTACCCAACCATTCGGCGGGGTCCTCGAACCCTCTCCTCCTCTCCCCTTCCCGCCACGCACACTTCCCGTTCTCCACCCAAACACTCCCCTCTCCCCCCCTCTCTCCACCCCCCTCTCCTCCCCCTTCCCACCCCCCACCAACAGACACACCCCCTCCTCCCCCACCCGTCCCATCCCACAAACCCCCACGCCCACCCACCCCATCAACCAGCCGATACCCACTCCCCTCCATCACCCACCCAGCGCCCCTCTCCCCCAGCTCCCTCTCCCGCCTCCACTCCCCCCCGCTGCCCCAGCTACCCGCCCTGCCATGCGCCTCATGCGCCGCCACCCTCCCCCCAGACCCCTCCAGGTCCCCAGCAGAGGATTTCATGTGCAGAGTGGCTGTGCGCTCCCAGATAAAGCCTTCCTCAGACGCACCTGCTGCGCCCATCATGCCACCCGGCCCACTGGAGGTGGACCGACCCACGCGCCGACTGCTCGCTCCGCCTCCCAATGCTGCTCCTAGACCAAACACTAAGCCACTGCTCCGCCTCCCCCCTCCACCCCCTCCGCCCCCTCCGCCCCCACCCGATCCCCACGCCCCACCACCATGCCCTATGTCTCCTTCCCCCACGTCCCCCCTGCCCAATCCCTCCCTCCCGTCCCTGACCCCCCTCCACTCTCTCCCTCCTCGCCTTGACCTCTCCCCATCATCCCGACCAAACTTCTTCCCCCACCCCAACCACCTGCTGCTGCTGCTGCTGCTGCTGAAGCTCTTCCCACTGGAGCCAATCCTTTTCCACCTCTCCTCCCCCCTCCCTCTCTGCACACTCCTCCGACAAACCATCCCGTCGCTCTGCTCCTCCTCCTGCTCCTGCTGCCACTGCACCTGCCGCTGCCGCTGCCGCTCCTGCCACTCCTCCTGACCTACCTCACCGTCATAGTCCCCGTCCCCATCCCCTTCCCCATACTCCCCCTCGTTCTCCTCCCACGCCTCCTCCTGCTGCCCCCACCCGCTGTCCCCACCACTCTCCTCCTCCCTCCCACCCCAGCCCCCCGCGCCTCTCGCCCCCACACCCTCCGAGAAACCTCAGTAAGCTCAGAAGCATCTGCAGTAAACGACCGGAGGAAGCGAGGAGAGGAGAGGGAGAGTGCTCTCTGAGAGGCCGTGGGGGTGCGTGCGGGGTGTGTGGATAGGGGCTTGGGTTGTGGAGAGGCGTGGTGGCAAAAGCGGAGGATGACGAGGAGGAGGAGGAAGGGAAAGCGGCTGGTGGAAGCGCAAGAGGGGCGACAGGCCCTGTGGCAGCAGCAGCAGCAGCAGCACCAGCAGTGCTGCCACCGCTACCTCCTGCTGAAGCAGCCGCCGCAGTAGTAGCAGCAGGACGCATGCTAGAGGGAAGAGTGGGGCACTTCTGAAAGCTGGAGGAAGGATCCATGGCAGCAGCAGTAGCATCACCGCTGAGCCCTGCTCTCCCTCCTCTTTCCATGGTGTACGCACCCACCCTGCCTCTCCCTGCATCCCTCTCCTCGTCTACTGCACGTGACAGCATGCGGTGGTGGGGTGACGGCGAGGGGTTGGGCGAGGTGGTGTGCGTGGGAACGCGTCCAGTGAGGCTAGAGGACTTGGGGAAGAAAGAGCGTGCTCTTGGTGCACCTGCCCGTGCCACCACAGCAGCTGCTGCACCATCTCCTGCAGCAGCAGCAGCAGCAGCAGCAGCAGCAGCACCGGCAGCAGCAGCACCAGCAGCAGCGGCACCAGCACTGGCAGCACTGGAAGATTTACCACCAGCAGCAGCAGCAGCAGCAGGAGAAGCACTGGGAGCAGATGCGAGGGCCCGAGCAGGTTTGAGAGGGCTGGGAGAGCGAGCAGGCACAGCAGACGTCATTGCAGAGACAGCACGGCCGAACCGTGCCGCTGCCGTTGGTGCTGCCACTGCAGCTCCTCCTCCTCCTACTGCTGCTGCTGCTGCTGCTGCTGCTGCTGCTGCTGCTACTCGTCCTCTTGCTGCTGCCGCACCTGACACACTCGATCCAGCTATTGCCGCAGTGGCTGCTGCTGCTGCTGCTGCTGTCCCATGCACTGCCCCTGTGCCAACACCTGCTGCTGCCACCGATCCAGCCACAGGACTCTCCTCCTCTCGTGGCCCTCTGCTCGCTCCACCATCCACCTCCAGCGTCCCAGCCCTTCCCTGCCGTGCACCACCACCACAAACCACCCGCACATCGTTCCCCACACCTCCTACCGCTTCTCTCCCTGCTACCGTCTCAGCCCCGGCCCCGCTGCTCATGCCACCGTCTCCACCTTCTGCCCCTGCCACTGCTGCCCCCTGGCTGTGCAGCGACCCCTCCCCCAGGGCCCAGGAGCGATCCCTGGGACTCAGCAGCGCTTTGAGAGCTAACAGCCCGCTTCTTGGACTCAGCAGTGGCGCCCGGCCGCTATGACCCGTGCCGCCGCCAGCAGCACCAGCAGCACCTGGCGAAGCGGAGTTGCCTGAAAAGGGCTTGTCAAGGGCAAGGGACGTGGACCCAGGCTCGCTGTGCCTGACGCCTGCTCCCATGCCCTGGGGAGAAACAAAATACGCTGCTGCTGCTGCTGCTCCTGCTGCTCTTGCTGAAGCTGGCCCCATTCCCCCGGCAGCACCCATGCCTCCTCTTTTCCCGTGTGAAAACCGGCCAGGAGTCTGCACCTGATGCAGTCCCGCTTGCACTGCCACTGTCAGCTTGCCCAGTCGTCCGTCCATTCCTCTCCTCTCACTCAAACCGCCGCTCCTGCTGCGAGACGCAGCAACAGCCACCCCCTCTGAAGGCCGCCAGTCCCTTTCACTGGGCTTGCTCCCTGGCCCCCCAGCAGGCCCCACGCACGAACCAGGGTCAGCGCCAGCAGCAGCAGCAACGCCAGCCTTCGCAGCTGCAGCAGTAGCGGCAACAGCAGCAGCGACTAACCCAGAGGAAGCCTCCCCGAGCAACCCTGCTGCACCTCCTGCAGTGCCCCATTCACCTCCGCCCACCGCTGCCCCTATCTCTGTGCCAGTTGTCACCGACCTTCTGAGTGCCCTCTCCTCTCGCTCTGCCTTCCACGTATCTCCACCCTCCTCAGAGGAACTACCTTTTCCTCCTCCTCCTCCTCCTCCTCCTCCTCCTCCTCCTCCTCCTCCTCCTCCTCCTCCTCCTCCTCCTCCTCCTCCTCCTCCTCCTCCTCCTCCTCCTCCTCCTCCCCCTCCTCTCCCCTTTCCTCCTCCTCCACCTCCTTTCTCTCCACCTGTCAGCCTCCCACTCAGTCGCCCAATGGACACCACTGCAGCAGCTTGAGCAAGCCAGTCACCCTTCTTGCTGCTGCCGCTGCCGCCGCTGCTGCTAAAGCTGCTGCTCCTACCCGCACCATCAAATCCGAAACCCTCAGCATCTACTGTACCACCACCATCACCACCACCACCACCACCACCACCACCGCCACCAGCAGCAGCAGCAGCAGCAGCAGCACTAAGGCGGACTTGGATTGGGGAGGCAATACCATCTCTGGCCGAGCCTCCAAACCCAACGCGTCTAATCAGCCGTCTGCCAGGAGTCAACACTTCTGACACATACCCACCCCTCTCCTTCTCCCCTCTCCTCTCCCTCTCCTTCTCTCGCCTGTTGCTGCTGCTGCTGCTGCTGCCACTGAAGCTGCTGGTGCTGCTGCTGCCCCATGCCCCGCGTGTCCCACCCACGGCCGGTGGCGTGAGTGCGGTGGGGTGCGAGGGTAGGTAGAGGGACGGAGGGTGGGGTGGCAGGGAGCCGGGCGCGGCAGATGGGGAGGGCAGCAGCGTGTGGAATGTAGACACCTTGCGGAGGGACATGGCAGGGCTTGACGGGGCCACCTGTGGGTTGCCACTTCCCTGCTGCTGCTGCTGCTGCTGCTGCTGCTGCTGGCTGCTTGTATCGTTGGGCGAGTGCAGCGGGGCAGAGAAGGCCAAGGGGGAAGTAATGGCGTCACACGCACCAGCGACACCACCACCAGCAACAGGCCCAGCACCGTCAGCAGCAGTAGCAGCATCGTCCTTGAGCCTGAGAAACCCCGCGATCTTATTCACGAGCTTCTTGGACATGGGCTTGCTGCCACTCCGCGCTCCTCTTCCTCCCCCCTCCCGCTCCCCCCCATCCTCCACGTTCACATGCAGCGAGCTTGGCGCCAGGGCGCCAGCCGAAGCACCAACGGAAGCACCAGCGGGAGGAGTGGCGGAAGCAGCGGAGGGGTTGTTGACGATGGCGATTGTGGCGATGACAGCGCGTGTTTCTGGTACGAACTGGCATGGCTGCACCATCAAATCTACTGCCACGCCTGCTAGATGCCCGCCCTTCCCAAAGTCGCGCACGCGGAACCTGGGGGAAGGTAAGGGGAAGGGGAAGAGGGGGAGGGAAGGGGGCAGAGGGGCGGACCACCATCGGCCTTACCTCTTTGACACACTCAGCACGCAACAAACCCCACGCCCTTCCCCTCCCTCCATTCTTTCATTCGTCCGCACTCACCGCAGCACAGCAGCGCCAATGCCTGCCTTCCCCGCGCCTCCCGCTGTCCCGAATACGTCCGCCATGGCCTCCTGCCACATGCGCATCGTCACATCACTCGTCAGGTCGAATAAAGACATCGGTCCCCCGCTTCCTGTCGCCCCAGTAGTTCTCCCCTTCCCCGCATCTTCCCCCTCTCGCTCCTCGCACGTCTCCTCCTCTTGGGGCCTTCCTCCAATGCACTCCTTCCCGTTGTAGCTGCTGCTTGTACTGTCAACTCCGTTCTCCCCACCGGAGCCTCTGCGCACGCCCGTTCCGCCTCCGCCGCCTCCCCCGCCGGTGGTTCCGCCCGTCGTCAACTCATCGGCGGAGCAGCCCAGCGCGGCAACAGCGCCGCTACTCACGGCGACGACGAGAGCGCATTGTCGCTCCAGCAGCATCATCATTGCCCTCGATTGCTGCACGAACCGCGCCGCGGGAGAGCTCGCGAGAGACTCGGGAATTACGGGGATTACACGGGGGCCTGCCGAACCTCTGGAGGGGGATTCGCCGCTGCTGCCAGTACAGCCGGCGGAATTGGTGGAACTTGCCGCGGAAGCGGAAACCCCCTGCGCGGTGGGGGAGCTTCCTGCATTGGGGGAAAGCCCCAGGGTGGGTGATTTCGAGCGCGCGACGGGGGGTTTCCCGATGCTGGCGGCGGTGGGCGGAACCAGCGGGGAGGAGTGACCAAGGCACAGACGCTGCTGCTGCGGGCTCTTCTGCCTAGCGCTATTTCTCCCCTGGCTGTCCACGCACCCGGCGGAAGCGACGACGACGGAAGGGTTCATACAACTTGCGAGCGCCGCCGCTGTCGCGGAATCGTGCGGCTGTCTGGTGCGCATTACCGCATTCTCCGCAGTTGCGCCGCGGCGCTCCAAGCTGCCGCTGCCGTGAAAACCTTCCCACGCGTCGCAGTCGTCCCCGCGGTTCCCCGCGCGGCCGTTCTCCGCACCCCCCTTTCGCCCTTCGTCCCCCTGAACCCCTTCAATCTCCACCTTCTTGCCTTCCGCGCAACTGGTCGCTCCGCTATTCCCATATTGCGCCCGCATCGCCTCATCGTGGTTCTGTTGGAGCAGCTGCGCCGGCGATTTTGGCGGCGGCGGCGGCACCTGCGACTGCGAGTCGGGTTGCGACAGGGTTTGCGACTGTAGCGGGGCGACGTTGTCAGGAAGATCAGAGAGGGAGGGCGAGCGGAGGTAACGCGAAGCAGTTAGAGCAGGGACGTCGCTAGCCATCGGAGGGAGGAGAATGCGGGATAGTCGAACGCGCTGATGTGGCGGCGGGTAGCGTAAGGGAATAGTGGGGACGGTTAATGCGCAGCGGGCTAATGCGCGGCGAGCTAAAGCGCAGCGTCCATCTACCAATCAATGAATAATTAACGGCCCTACTTGCAAAAATTTGCAGTATTTCGGCCGCAGCAAGTCAGCCAGCCTCGTGCTCAATAGAAAATAAAGGATTTTAATTCACGGGCCTTGCAACCCGTGCTTCCATTGTCGAGCTGGCACAGCCGTCAACTGTTCGTACGAACGTCGCGCGATTCGGTGTCTGTCTGTGATAGCCTCGTTGATCTCTTCATGCCCCAGGACTCTTCTTCATCATGAAAGATTGTGTCCTGCCACCTATGTTCCTGCTGTGCACCAGCCGCTGGACAGAATGGGGTGGGTGCGATGTGACGCGATGCAATGGCGGAGGCTCCACCACGCGATCGATGCGACGACCGACTGCAAGGGACAGTTCGGGCTTGGGTCCCGAAGTTTGCCCACCATCGAAGTTTCAGTATCTGGTTTTTCATGTTTTCTTGTTCCGGAATGCGTGACTACATGGCAAGACTAGTTTTTGGGGGCTGTCCAAATGTCCGAAATCGAACCCAGCTTCACAACTTTGACATAATGCCTGAGGTGGTTTCACACTCCCAGCCCTAGAGTCAAACCATTCACTTGCGGGTCCCCACCCCATAAACCTTGAGAATTTTAGCCCTTGGGGATTCTCTGCCAACCACTAGGACGACATTTTATGGGGCACTTTGAGCGACAACAAAGACATCCTTCATGTTGGCTTGCTCGCTCCGTCTGTCCTCCTTCTCAACTTGGCAGATCTGTCGGCACATGTTGCGCATTTGTCCTCAGGCTGCTTTTGTTGTGGGTGCTCCGAGGCAACAGTGACCGTTTTCTGGATGAGCGACAGACACACAGACATGCTCCTCACCACAAGGAGCAACCTTTCCTGCCAAGTCTCGGGTGGGTTGTGTGATGGGAAGATGTACACCCTCTTTCTCGACTTCGTACCAGCGGGCGTCTGGCAAGCTGAAACTGTCTTATTCAAAATATCCTAATCAACCATACAGAACCATTTCTAAACGCTCTCAACCATATTGTTTCTTCCTGCAAGCTAGTATAACCGAGGTCAGTCTAGCGAGAATGAGGGTGTATTCAAATTATGACGGTCCCCCGAGCTCTCCTGCTTTGGATAGAAAAAGTCGTTTTGTAAGATCGCCTTCCTGGGGTGTCCGGACATGAAGTGGGGACAGCGAAAAGTGCATTTGGCACGTGCAAGAGGATAGGCATTGTGATGAGGTGGAGGAGGGACGAATCTGGACGTCGCATTTGTTCAGAGGCTACCTACGTGCGAAGGCCCCACACGATCAAACTAGTACAGTGCAACATCTTCGCCGTCAAACCTGCTGAAATGCGATCGCAGATTGTAGATGGAGTCGAGCAGTCAGTAATGATTGGGCAAGAAGTTTCGCAATTTCTCAACAGTCGCACATACAAGGCCCTGCTCGGTAGCCCCCCCAGTCACACTGCGGTTGGTGCAGGTGATCTTCCGCGGCCCAATTTCGATGCGCCTTAAAGCCAACCAAATCGTTATTAGAACACCAAACCTGCCCAGTGCGAACTGTCTACCGAACGCGTCATAAACTCACTCCGAGCGCAGGGGGAAGACACTACCACGAAATTGGCGTGTCCAGGCAAATTTGACCGTCAGTGCAAGTCCATCCCATTTCAGCTTCCCAGTTCCACTCAGGCAGGCCCACTCTGAGTAAAATGTTGGAGGGTATACGCTGCATTAGTGTCATTTCGGGCCAAAAATATATTTTTAGTCCGTTCAGTAAAAAACGACGAGAGATCGTGCTCGCGGTCCGTTTTTATTTCATGGGAAACCAGTTGGCGGGCTGATTTCTTGTTTGCGGGTGGGGCAGCAGGCAAAATTCGGTCAGCAATTTCTCTACCAACCCGAGGTAACTTCTTGCAGAAAATTGATGAAACTTCATTCTAGTGCGAGTGGAGGCCCGAAGCTACGAAACGGACCAGAGGCTTCCCCAGTTCGAGTGGGCCCAGTGTGACTGGGAGGCTACCGAACAGGGCCCATGAGTCGGTGAGCTGCCAGGTTGGACCTAGAGGATGCACTTTTGAAGCTGTCCGTGTCCGGACACTCCAGGAAGGCGATCTAATTCATGAAAACGAAGTGCTGCTGAAAGTGGTGAGGACAAAAAGAAGTCTCGTTCGTGAAAAGGCATCAACAGGAAATATCTTATGTGCTCAGAAAGTAGTTGGGAAAGCCACTTGCAAGACCGATCAGATTGATTGACAGCCCCAGTTGGGGAGGGGAAACCTGAAGGGAATGGGTTGTGGGAAACCAGTACAGTAGTTACAGTACGGCGGCTCATCACAACCACCACCTTTGCCCCTTGGCTGGAGTCTCTTCAAGTGCAGCCCTTGGCTGGAGTCGAGAGATTTCGCCATCAATTTCGCCCACACCAAAACAGTAACAAAATGCACCTCCCGAAGATGAGTAGGCGGCAAGCAAGGCAACCCTAGCTGGCTTTTGATAGTGTGGTTTGTCTGAAGTGGTCATCAGTGATACGGTAGTGATGAGGGACTCCATATCTGTAGGTGTACTTTGATAGTTGGGTGTGTTGTGCATGCTTGAATGAGCCTGCAATGAGGAAGCACATCCTGTCCTGTCTTAACCAAGCTTCTTATAGTGTATTAACACACATAAACAGAACAAAGAAAGCATAATGTTATCTACTGCATCCGTAACACAGGATAACATTCTTCCTGGAACACCATAACTTTAGTACAAAGCAGCGCCAGCAAAGTACCATACAAGGATGGGTCATGCCGGCGCAGAATACACCGAAGAACTAACATGTAACATGTGCTGGTAACAGACTGACTCCATAAGGAGGATTCCATGAGGATTTTAATAACCCAATGCGAGCTGCTCGTTGTGACATGCAATGCAGCTTGTTCATTGCTGTAGAGACCCGTTAAACACGATCAAGGCAACCTCTCGACAGCGTGAGTGCAAGGGCACTGCATCGGCAGCAGAGGCAGGTCGACCACAGGTCAACAGAGATGGAGTGTGGATGAAGGAAACGCGCACTGCTGCTGCCGCTTCTGCTGCCGCTGCTGCTGCTGCTGCCGCTGCTGCTGCTGCCGCTGCTGCTGCTGAGCCTGCTGCAGGGGACGGAGCAGAGGATGCGTTCGACTCCCCAGCGGTAAGCTGAGTCGATTCAGCAGCAGGGTTAGAAGCGTATGAGGATTCAAAATCAGCGCACCCGTCGGAGCAGCAGGATGGGTTAGCCAGGCATGCTACGAGCGGGGGCACTTGATTGGTATCTGTGGCCAATTTGAGCCAATCCTGGGACAGCAACGGGGCAAGGGGGCAACAGTTTCAGCAAAGGAGCAGGCAGCCACGCCAGGAGCGTGAGGGGGAAACGCCCACCAAGCACATGTTCCGTCCCTTCATCTCCAGAACCAGCATTCACAAAAGTTAAATCCCAAGCTATCCTACGACATTTCTGCCGCACCCACTCGACTGTTCGTGCACCTGTTCCTCCATTAATCCCCCCTCAGTTTCATTCCTTTCACCACGATGCTACAACCCTGGCCTATCTCATTTCAGATGTTCCCCAGGACTCGCAAGCAACAGCTTATGTCGCTCGTAGAGACTTACCAGAAATTGTGACTTGGAGGTGGGATCAAGAGAGGAAAGCCAGTGAGGGGCAGGCGAGGCGAGGCGGAGGAGGGAGAGGAAGGCGTTGTTGCACGTGATGATGTCGCCACTGCCTGCTGCCACCACTGCGTACCCCACTCCACCGCGATCCATCACATGCCTGCAACAAGCACAGGTATGGAAGAGTGATGAACCATACCGTACAGGGTGGGTGGGTGCAATGCACGACACAATTCATGGCATGCCGCCCACACCACACCGAGATGATGACTTTTGAGGCGTTTCCAAAGATACCACAGCGAGATGATGACCAATGGTGAGTTCACACAGCTTCTGAGTGGACTCAAAGGTCTTAGCTCACCTCACACACTCGTCCGAACTCCCAAAGCACGGTGCTTGTGCCTGCACATGCTCACTCCTCCCATCACTGCCCTCCACTCTGCTGCTGCCCTCCTCCTCACTTCCCGTCGCCACTGCACCCACCCCATCCTCCACCTCTTCTCCAGTTTTCTCGAAGGCACCATGACCACGTCTTTTGATAGCAGCGGCCTCCTCCCCTGCCTTGCAGAATTCATCCTTTCTCTCCTCAGCCTCTCCTCTTCCCTCCACTGCTTCGCCTGCCCTAGCCTCGTCTCCCTTCTCCCCCCCTCCCGGCCTGCTCTCTCTCCACCCCATGCCCCCTTCCTCAACCCCCCCTGCTCCCCGCTCTTCACTCCCCTCACACTCCAACTCTCTCTCACCCTCTCCCTTGGCCGCCTCACCATCAACACCACACTCCATCGCACCCAACACCATCAGCTGCTGCTGCAGGGCCGCCAGTTGCTGCTCCAAATCCCTTAGCTCTTGCTCCACAGCACTCTTATCAGAAATCGCCTCCCCTGCCGTGTCACATGCAGCTCTCCCTACTTCCTCTTCATCCTCTTCTGCGTCCTTCTCTCCTTCCTTGGAGATGATATCACATATGCTGGGACGGCTAATATCACCAGTTGTATCTTGCTCCCTGTGTTCCTCCTGTTCGCCTGGCTCTATCACCCCAGCCTTTACATGCTCAGCGTTTTCTCCTTTGTTATCTTCGTCTGCTGCTGCTGCTGGTGGTGCTGCTGCTGGTGGTGCTGGTGCTGCTGGTGCTGCTGTTGGTGCGGCGTCAAGGATGGGAGCAACGGCAGTGGCAATGGCACTGGGTTTGACAGAATCAGCAACCACAGGACCTGCAGATGAAGTGGCATTAGCAGAAGCTGCCACATCCGCAGCAACAGCGGCAGCAGCAGCAGCAGCAGGTGCAGCAGCAACAGCAGCAGGTGCAGCAGCAACAGCACTCCTGTCATCAACACTCAACGGCACTGGGATTGAAGGAACCGCCTCATCCTCCGCCTCCACCTTCCCCTCCTCTTCACCTTCCTCCTCCCCTTCCTCCACCCACCTCCCCACTTCCCACCCCCTCCCATCCCCTCCCAGGGATAAATTCGAGCTAAAGCTAGCATTCCCAAGGCTCAGAGCCACTATGCTAGCCCCCAGGCTCCCACCAAAGCTGCTGCTGGAAAAACCACCACCGTTGAGACCACCACCAAAGCTGCCATACCCACCGTCCGTCGTCCCACCCATGCCACTGTTGCTGCTGCTGCTGCTGCCAGGGGTGATGGGCCCTGTGCTACCCACAGTGATGCGCCTCCAACTGAGCCTCCTACCCGTTGCAGGCTTCCGTGCCTGCTTCTCTTTCTCTGCTGCTGCTGCTGCCGCTGCTGCAGCTGTTGCTGCTGCTGCTCCGCCTGCTGCTCCAGCTGTCGCTCCTGTACTGCCCTTCCGCTTTGCCCCCCCTGCCTTTGGCCGACCACTGCCGCCACCATCCCCACCAGCACCGCTACCAGCAGCAGAAGCAGCAGAAGGCAAAGCGGCGGACTTTTTGCGTTCGCGGGAGGTAGGGGTTGTTGAGCGGGCTCTGCGAAGAAAAGACTCGTTTGCCTTTCCCTCCTCTGCCACTGCCCCTTCACCCACCTCGCCATCCCTCCCTTCCCTCACATCAAACCTCACTCTCCCGCCTTCCTCTCTCCCTTCGTCCGCCCCATTGACAGCCTCTCCCTCCCCCTCTGCCCCCTCTTTCGTCCCCACATCGTCCCCCCCTTTGCTCTCCCCACCCTCTTCCTGCATCTCTTCTGTAGTTCCATCCAGATTCATGCCTCTGCCGTTCCCCTCACCACTGCCACTAGCAGATACAAGTTCCTCTGCCCTATCACCTCTCGCTTGATCAACCTTCTTAGTTGGTTCCGCTGCTGCTGCTTCTGCTGCTGCTGCTGGTGCTGCTGCTGCACCAGAGGAAACGCCTTCGCCCCTTGCTTTCTCTACACTCCCTGCACTCACTTCCCCAGGGAGAGTGGAGTTAACGAGAGGATTCTTGGCAGTGGTGCCGGCGGCAGCAACAGCTGCAGTGTCTGCACCTGCTCCTGCTCCTGCTCCTGCTCCTGCTCCTGCTCCTGCTCCTGCTGCTGCTGCTGCTGCTGCTGCTGCAGCATCTCCATCAGAGATCGCCAGTGACACACGTGGCATTACCACAGTCTCACCAAGCAGCATGGCTGGGGCAGCAGTAGCAGCAGCAGCAGCCGAAGCAGCAACAGCAGAAGAAGCAGCAGATGCAGGCAGGGCATCGTGAGAGGAAGAGGCCACAGGATCATGAGAAGAGGAGGGCTTTTCGAGCATCTCCTCCCCCACCACCAAGTCCCCACTTGCTGTTTGAGCTGGCTCTGTTGGCATGGTGGGTTCAGAACCTGCCTGCTGCTCAGCCACGCCCCCCCCCACCCCTCCTGCAGCGTGAACGCTTGGAGCGAGACAGGGCTCTTTTGAAGCAGATGGCAGGCCGTCGGTGGGAGTGGCAGGGGTGGGAGTAGGAGCGCTGGCAGCAACTGCAGCTTCTGGTTGAGAGGCAATCATGGTATCAGGACCAACAGCAGATGCAGCAGGGGCGGCAGCAGCAGCAGCAGCAGCAGGGGCAGTTGCAGCAGGGGAGGCAACAGTAGGGGCGGCAGCAGCAGGGGCAGCGGCAACAGCATGTGTGCGGTCATGGTCTTGGTGATCCCTCCATGCATCATCCTCATCCTGCTCCATCCCCCTCAACCGCACTGCATCGCAACTCGTACACCTCCTTCTAGGCTGCACTTGGTCCTGCCCTGACCCGCGCACTTGCCCTCGCACTGAACCCCGCCCTCTGTTCTCCCTCACTTGGCCCTCTGCTGCACCTAATGTATCCTCTTTGCCCGAATCCAACCAATCGTCCTCCTCCTCCTCCTCGTCCTCCTCACCACCCTCCTCCTCCTCCTCCTCCTCATCCTCCTCCTCCTCATCATCATCATACTCAGCATTAGCAGCAGCAATGGCAGCAGATGCCACATGGCTGGGCACGCGCATGCTCCTACTACCACGAGCTCCCAGGGCCTTGAGCCCCCTCAGGCTACCAATGCTGCTGCTGTGCCCGTGCCCGTGGCCAGCACCCAGAGCAGCGCTGATCTCCCTCGGAGTGAAGAATCCATGGCTCTTGCTCCGTCCTGCCCTGCGGCCTCCTTGCTCAGACTTCACTTGCTCGTCCTGCTGCTGCTGCAGCAGCAGCTGTTCACCATAATCCGCCTGGTTTCGGTGCAGGCCCGGGGCATAGATCACCGAGTCACGCACGTTAGACAGCCCCTTTCTTCCCTCGCTCGATCCCCGTTTCAACTTCCTCCTTCCAATCCTCCTGCCCCCTCCACCACCGCCACTCGCCACCTCCCCTGCCTCCTGCCTGTTACTGCTGCTGCTACCGCTGCCAGCACCACTTGCAGCGGCTCCAGGGGTTGCAAGGGAGGAGGCAGCGGGGGCAAAGGTAACCCCATCACTCGACCACGCACCACCGCCACTGCCGCCACTGCCGCCCCTTCTCCTCTCACCACCCACACCACCAGAGCCGTCTCCGCCGCTACGCTTGGCCCCTCCGGCGCCCTTCTCTTCTCCTGGCTTCAGCAGGGAGCTCACAGCGTTGAGCCACTTGCTGCTGCCACCACCACCACCACCACCACCGCTCCTCTCATCGGCTTCCATCTCCATCCATGCGTCTCCTTCAAAGTTAAGCCACACCAACCATCCGTTCCCCTCCCTCCACACTCCCACCAGAGGTAACTCCTCCCCTTCCTTTTCGCTCTCCTCCTCCTTCTCCCCGTCCTTCTCTTCCTTCGTCTCCTCCTCCATCACTCCATCCCTCTCCTCATTCTGCGTGTCAGCCTCAAAACCCTCACCGTCTGCCTTTGTCCCTGAACCGTCTGCCTTTGTCCCTGAACCGTCTGCCTTTGTCCCTGAACCGTCTGCCTTTGTCCCTGAACCGTCTGCCTTTGTCCCTGAACCGTCTGCCTTTGTCCCTGAACCGTCTGCCTTTGTCCCTGAACCGTCTGCCTTTGTCCCTGAACCGTCTGCCTTTGTCCCTGAACCGTCTGCCTTCACCCTTCCCTCTCTCCCTCCATCCTCCACCTCCTCCTCCCCACTCCCACCATCCGCATGCTCACCAATCCCTTCTTCCTCCCCTCCCTCCGCTTTCCCTCCCTGCTCCTCCCCTCCCTCCTCCCCTCCCTGTTCCTTGCACCTGCACGCCTCCTTACCGCGCTCGCTGCCCTCGCCACCCTCCTCAACCGCACCCAAGATCTCTGCAATCGTAGGCGACCGTTCCAAAGCGAGAGGAGAGCGTTTCGGAGTGAGCAGCTTCCGCGGGAGCACGTGCCACTTGACGCTGCCACTGCCACTATTACCACCACCACCACCGCCACCGCCACCACCGCTGCCGCTGCCACCGCTGCCGCTGCCACCGCTGCCACCGCTGCCATCCTCATCAGCACAGGGACTAGTCTTAATTCGCCTCAAAACAGGATTCGACTCGTGGCTGCGGTGCTGTGGGTGATGATCCCCGCTGGACGCACCTTCTAGCTCCTCCTGAGTGGGCGTGTAAACGCACTGGGTAATCAGGTTACCACCACTGCCAAGGCCGCCGTGCCTTCTCTCCTTGCTGCCGTGACTCACAGCAAGATTGCCAATTCGCCCTGTTATGCCGCGCCTCTCGCGCAGCCCTGTTGCTCCTTCAAGCTCTGTCTGCTCTGCTTGCTGTGCCTGCTCTGCCTGTTCTCCTTCCCTGTTCCATGCACCTGCATCCACTTCACTGCTACCCGCTTCGTTCCTCCCTCCTCGCTTCTCCTCGCTTCCTTCCCCTCCTGCTCTGCCTGCCCCTCCTCCTCCTCCTCCTCCTCCTCCTCCTCCTCCTCCTCCTCCTCCGCCTCCTGCTCTTCCTGCTACTCCCGCCACACTTGTTTTCCCTGCAGCCGCGTCTGCAACGGATGCTGGGTTCCTCAACGCCTCCTGGCCATGCCAATTCAGCAACCCCACTGCTTTACTCCCCACGACCGCCCCGCCCTTATCACTCACCGATTCCTCCCCGATACCACTCCCACTCCCACTCCCACTCCCACTCCCACTCCCACTCCCACGCTGCTCATAACTCACATCTGAACTGGTTGAACCGTTATATCTTGTCTTCTCCACCACTTGATCATCGCCGCTCTCCTTCTCACGCACATTCTTGTTACTATCACCACCCACCGCCAACACCACCACCACGTCACTGCCTGCCCTCCCTGCCCCCTCTACCTCTACACTCGTCCTCTCTTCCCCACGCTCAGTCAAGCCACTCCCGGAGCAGCACCCCTCCCTCGTACTGTCACCCCGATCCCGAACCTCTTCCCCACCCATCTTTCCAAGCCCCTCCTCCCCCTCCTCTCCTTTCTCCCCCTTCTCCCCCACCGCCACCGCCTGTCCGCCCGCCACCCTGCACGCCTCTCCCGTTCCCTCCCCCGTTCCAGCCTCCCCCGCTTCCCCCGCCCCACCCTGCGCGCCCACCTCTGTGCTCTCCGCCTCCACGCCTTCCTGCAAGCCGTCGGGCGGAATGGCAACTCTCAGGTCCTTGCGCCTTCCAGACCCAAACGAGCCTGACTTGGCCAGAGGCGGGGCCTTGCTGCTGCTGCTGTTACTGCTGCTACTGCGCATCAGGCCCGCGCCATTGTCGCCGTTCTTATTGCTGCTTTTTTCACCGCTGTTGTGGCCGCTGTTGTTGTCGGTGCTGCAGCTGCTGTCACGAGCGTCGACGTTAGAGAGGGAGCGAAACACAAGCGGTTTCTTCGGAGCCTTGCTGAGGCTGCTGCTGCTGCTGCTGCTGCCGCTTCTCGTGCTCATGCTGCTGCGCGCGGTAACAGCCACGAGCTTGTCAGCAGCAGCATCAGGATCAGCACCACCAGCACCACCAGAACCATCAGAACCAGCAGCAAGGGCGACAACAGCAGGGCTAGTCAAAGCACCAGCGGCAGCAGCAGCAGCCACGCCAATAAACCCGCCATCGAAGCTACCAAAGCTGCCCCAGCTGCTTCCCCTCTTCCCCTTGCCCAGAATGCCATCTGTCTCTGTCAACGACCCCCCCCGGCTCCGATTCTCCCTCTTTGAGAGCACCCGGAATCCCCTCCCTCCCGCCCTCTCCTCCTCCTTGACTGCTCCTGCAGACGCCGCTCTTTCTACACCTTTAGCCGCTGCTTTTTCTGCTGCTTTCTCCGCTTTCTCAGCTGCTTTCTCTGCTGTCTTTTCAGCTGATTTCCCGCCTGCTTTTTCCACCACTCTCTCGCCACCCGCACCACCCGGCCCTTCCTTACCTTGTCGCCCGCCTCTCCCGTCCCTGCCTTCCCGACCCTGCCCCGAGCCAGAGTAAAGTGGTCCGGAAAACACGTCCTTCACAGACGGCAGGCCGAGCCTGCGTCCAGGCGTGGTGGCCTGGCGGCGTTCCGACCTGGGGGGCTCGAATCCAGGCGGGCGGGAGAGGAATCTCGCGCTCAGGGGCCGCGGAATGTCCGCCTTGGCTGCGTCTGAGTGGAAGGAGAAGGTACTTTGAGAGCCGGACGAATCGGAGGAGGTTACAGCAATGGTCGAGGAGACGGAGGAGGAGGAGGAGGAGGAGGATGAGGAGGAGGAGTGGAAGGTGGGGAGTTTGAGCATGGAGCGTGGGGTTGTCGAGCCTCTTGGTGTGGTTTGGGCCGAGCCAGAGCTGTGGGAGGTTTGGATGGCGGGGAGAGGCGCCGAGACCTGCATTGCTCCTCCTCCGGACTCCTCCTGAAACCCTAAAAGCACCGCTA